CCAATTTGACCAGACCATTTGACCAATTTGACCAGACCAGTTCGACCAACAAATTTTTGGTTGACCAGTGATTTGACCAACTCTGAATAAAATAAATCGAATTAGTCTTTCTTTAATACAGATTAAAATTCATGTTAAAAGTTCACGACTATCCATCTGCCTTGACCAAATATCCTCTTAAAAATGCCTTTAATTCATCCACGTTATCTTCAAACACCGCGCTTGCAACGTATAAATCAGGTCGAACAAGTACGAAAGCCTGCTGCCCGACTTCTTTCGTAATGCCATATTTTTCATGCAATTCGAATTTATATTCAACAAATATATGCTGTTCTCTGCCCTCTTTTAGGAATGGCATGAATGGTACATCAGCAGCCTGGATGACGCCCTGATATGAAACGATAACGGGTGTGATAGTACTTTTATAATCATTGTATATCTCCAACAGAGTACGAATAAGCGGATTGCAATCAGCAGTAGCACCCTTGGTTAGAGTAAAGAGGATTAAGGTGTGCTTCGATGCGGTTAAACGAAGGACATCAAACATAGTTATGCGCTCATGACTTTCATGAGGAATTATTTTCTTTAATAATCCGTCTAGTGCGTAATGACCTGCTTTGATCAATTTGTTTTCAACTCTTGAGCGAGGTTTATACTTGTGAAGAATCCCGGAAGTTTCAGGAAAGTAATTAATATCAGTTTGAAATAAATTTATATGAAATTTAAATGCAATCTGAGGAAAGAAATGAAATATGAAAGGAGCAACGCGCGTTCGGAGGAATATGCTAATAAAATCATTACCACTCCACATTTTTGTAAAAAAACCAGTACCTGAAACAACTTTTTTAGCAACGGGATACCGTTCTTGTTCATAACTATCAATAAGTTTATCCACGTCAGCTGCCTGACCCCTAATAGCTAGTGCCAATTTAAAAGCTAGGTTATGAGCGTCTTGAATTCCTAAATTCATGCCTTGACCACCAAATGGCGAATGACAGTGAGCAGCATCTTTTTAATAGAAAATTAATTGATATTATATTATTAATAATAAATGATAATTATTGTAATACGAACAAATTAAAAAGTAAACCTTCATTTACCTCCAGCGACTAACGCACGACCTGTTCGATATCTATTTACAATTCTTTCATTAATCCTGAATTTGGAAATCCATACTGGATTCTTTAGTTCCAATTTAATCGGGGCAATTCTCTCATCAATCAGTTTCTGCAACTCTTCTAGTGTAATATGCGTTTCATTTGTAACGTGGTTATTAGCTTCATGTTTGCTCTCCTCGTCAGAAATTTTGACAATGATACGGACAATATTTTTTCTGACATTCAACGATTCTATTCCGATAATCCCTAGTAACGTAACATAGTAGATTTCATTAAAGTATTTACGGTATTTAGATTGAAATGAAACATAAAGCATTAAAATAGTAAAATGCAAAAATTACTCACTTCATACCTGCTCCCAAAACCTCTGCAACTATCCACTGCCTCTGTGGCCTCTACTATACTAACTTCACCTCTGCAACTAACAAAAAATATATTACTTCTCTCTCTAGTTTTACAACTTATGTAGCAAATGCAAATAACAAAAAAACTAAAGTTCTTTTACAAAACCTCGCTGAAAGTTCTGAAAATATCCTGCCATCCCCAACACTAAATCTTTGCCAACATACTTGTTCAAAATGCTAGCTTGTTATCAAATGCAAACTTATCAACAACATCCATAAACTAAATAATGATGCTACCTTCTATGAAAATGAAGCATACCACTATGCCTGTCTCCCAAAAAATAATACTAACAATCTTTCTTCTTCTACTAACTTCAGCTCTACATCATCTATTACTCATGACTTTCTTTCTACTAGAAAAGACTTAACTGCTACTTTTCAAAAACAATAACAACTCCAAAACCTATCTACTCCTTCTTCAACTCTTCTTATACTACCAGATAACAATAAAACACCTCTACTTACTACAACCATCAGCACCAAGAAAATATTGTCAGAAATGGAAATTGACCTTACTACTCCAACTCAAACTAATCTAATCTAAAATCTAACAACAAATACAAATCTTACAAACCAAACCCCACAAGCAACTCTAAACAACGACATGGAAATCGATATACCAAAAACACTAAATCTCAAAGAAAATAATACTCCTACCAAACCAAGCCAACCTACTAAAAATAATAATAATTCTTATTCTAAAGCTTTAGCTAAAAACTTACCACAATCTCAAACTACCTCTACCAAACCAAACAAACCTAAAGCAAATCCTGTATTCGACTGGCTTGCAAACTTTCTGATCACAGAGGAAATAAAACCTAACACTAAACTTCAAACTAAACTATCCTTCAAATTGTTTAACTTTCTTAAAGATAACCTTTCAAACTTCACCTCTGGAACATCATTTAAATATTTTATTTGCACAATGGCAGGCCAAAGACCTGAATTTCTAACAAATTTAATCTACTAAGCAAACTCAGATATAAACTCTAATGCAACAATCTACTTCAACCTTTTTGAATCTACTTTAAAAGATCTCTTGGTCAAATTTACAACTATACTATTCACTAAAATGAATTATGGAGAGATCTTTGCATCTCCTATCACAATTCCACCACACAAAATAGAAAATCGCCTCCAAATATGCTTGAATATAGTACAACTACACCTTTATTTAACAAACAACTTCCAATCAATCAACTAAACAAAATTCAATGAAGATTTCAAACTCAGACCTAAAAGGTTCAAAATTAATTCTACAATTGAACATACTGACCAAGAACAAGAATACTTCACTATCTCTTCAGATTTAAGATTTAATATCAAACTA